ATATATATATATATATATATATATATATATATATATATATATACACAAAAACACACACTTACACAAATGTCCATTTGAAAGGAGGTGCTCATTAAAAAAGTTTGATTGTCAACCGCATTTTTTTTTTGCAAATTGTTTTAATTTGAGACTAGTCTAATTACAGTTTAAAACCTTGGATCTATTTTGTCTTTATTTTTAGCAATAAACAGTTAATAATCAATTAAATGTAATATTTAAAATATATGTTTCTGTAAATCCATCATAGGAATACATATATAGATTATTTTATTTTTTATATATATTTCTTTTAAAATTATTATAAAATAATAATAATAAAAACACTGCCAGATTGGTTAAAAGAGTTGCAGATTTAAATAATGCTAGCTAGCTGGTTTGGAACAAATGATTTGTGATTATTGATATTTCCTAAAAATATTGTGTGGTCATTCTTTCATACAGTAGCTAAAGGCTGCAATACACAATATGACTTTTGCCCAGATTTTTTCCCTGATTTACAGTCTGAAGCAGTCAGCACTAGTTGGCATAATTCAGAGCCGGTCTGCAGAATTTGGGCAGTAGGAGTTTGCACAGAAAGTCGTGTATGATATGATGGGCACAAACTCCAATTTTTAATCTTCAGCCTTTGATTCCATCCAGTTGGAGAATATCAAACATGTTTTGATATGTTTGATATTTTGAGCCATTTTTAGAACACATTGTTTCAATTTGTAATGTAATCTCCTAGCAACGAGGTGCATGTTTCTCTGAGTTTGTGTTTGTAATGACTTGAATATCTGGTAGAGTGAGATCCTAAGCTATTGCCTATTGTTTTAAAATCTGTTCAGATCTTAAAAACTATACCAGTGTGTATGCCAGCCTTTACGGTTAAATTATATGTGTCATGTGAGATTCTCAGTGATTTTAAAATAGTAATGGGACCACGAAAAAACTGTTCAAGGTCATAAAATCTGAAATTCTGTTGTATTGTTTTTCAGGCTGCACCAAATACCAACATCAATGATAACCTAAGTAATCCCACCCCGATCCAAATATCTATCCCAATTGCAAACCCATTACCCATCAATCCAACTCCCAATCCTAATCCCAACCCCAACCCTAACCCCAATCCAGTCAGGAAGAACCATGCTTGTGAGGCATGCGGGAAGGCGTTCAGGGACGTGTACCATCTTAACCGGCATCGGTTGTCCCATTCGGACGAGAAGCCGTACTCCTGTCCAATCTGCCAGCAGCGGTTTAAGAGAAAGGATCGGATGAGTTATCATGTGCGGTCACACCAGGGAGGAGTGGAGAAACCATATGTGTGTCCGCACTGCGCCAAGGGCTTCTCACGGTAAGAAATAGCCTTTTGCACACCTGTACACACCAAAAAATAAATAAAAACTAGTTGCATAAACATACTTTATCCCATGAGTGTGCTGAGATTATGAGGACATTAATTTTTTATGATTTCTATAAACACATGCACGCTTGGTATAAACCAGAACAAACTGTTTATCAGGCCAATTCACAGCAGGTTTCAACAGTGAGCATTATACTGTAGTTCTGACAGTGATGGAGGACTGAATGTTGTCATTTTACTGAAAGCTATTGAGAGAGATGCCCTAATTACTAATTTGAGACTGAAAATGGGTTAGATGAGGAATAAGTGACCTTCTGTCTGTATTTATCTATCTATGTCATATATTTAGACACATCTACATCCATATGCAGTCCAGTCAAGCTAGTAGTAAAAAAATATTGTTGGGCTCATGAGGACCTGAGGTAATAATAAATAAATAAATTTAGTTGCATATTTTGATTCAATTATGCATTAAATGTATCAAAAGTGACAGTAAAGATATTTACAACATTACAATATACAGTGTATATATATATATATATATATATATATACTGTATATATTAACAACTGCACCACCCATGTCCTGTTGTTTTAGCACGCTTGGTATAAACCAGAACAAACTGTTTATCAGGCCAATTCACAGCAGGTTTCAACAGTGAGCATTATACTGTAGTTCTGACAGTGATGGAGGACTGAATGTTGTCATTTTACTGAAAGCTATTGAGAGAGATGCCCTAATTACTAATTTGAGACTGAAAATGGGTTAGATGAGGAATAAGTGACCTTCTGTCTGTATTTATCTATCTATGTCATATATTTAGACACATCTACATCCATATGCAGTCCAGTCAAGCTAGTAGTAAAAAAATATTGTTGGGCTCATGAGGACCTGAGGTAATTATAAATAAATAAATTTAGTTGCATATTTTGATTAAATTATGCATTAAATTTATCAAAAGTGACAGTAAAGATATTTACAACATTACAATATACAGTATATATATATATATATACTGTATATATTAACAACTGCACCACCCATGTCCTGTTGTTTTAAAGGAGCCCTGATGCTACAGACAGAGGCAGATCTCTGGTGACTCTCCTCTAGTTCACATAGAGATGGTGTGCAGCAAAAACACAAATGCACAATGGCCCCTGCTAATCATTGTGATTTTGTACGTATTGTATTCGTTGGTTGAGCCCTCTCTTTGTCTCCTCCAGGCCTGACCATCTTAACAGTCATGTGCGACAGGTGCACTCCACAGAAAGACCCTTCAAATGCCCGGTAATCATACTGTTCTAGTCTCTCTCTCTCCTTTACCCACTTTTCTTTCTCATACTATTTATCATTGATGTTAGTTTTTCCTGCATGCTCTGTGTGATTTGACGTGTCATTGATTGCCATTGGAAATAATTTGACCTTGTCCCTCAGAATTTAAAAACAAAAGCTCAAATATAAAACATTTTTGCTGAATTTAAATGCTTTAAAGATCACAAAAAAAGCCAACTTGTAGTATTTTTTACTCTCAATCCATTTTTAGTAGCTTTGAGGCCATCTGCTAGAAATGTTACTTTAGCAAATATACATGCTTAAAAATTGCAGTCTTTCTTGGAAAAAAGACCAACAATTTTGAATATTAATGCTTTTACTATAGTATATACTGTATACTACTGCTCAAAAGTTTAGGGTAAGGAAGATGTTTTAAAGGAGTCATATGACGTTGCTAAAAAGAACATTATTTTGTGTATTTGGTGTAATGCAATGTGTGCAGCAAAAACACAAATGCACAATGGCCCCTGCTAATCATTGTGATTTTGTACGTATTGTATTCGTTGGTTGAGCCCTCTCTTTGTCTCCTCCAGGCCTGACCATCTTAACAGTCATGTGCGACAGGTGCACTCCACAGAAAGACCCTTCAAATGCCCGGTAATCATACTGTTCTAGTCTCTCTCTCTCCTTTACCCACTTTTCTTTCTCATACTATTTATCATTGATGTTAGTTTTTCCTGCATGCTCTGTGTGATTTGACGTGTCATTGATTGCCATTGGAAATAATTTGACCTTGTCCCTCAGAATTTAAAAACAAAAGCTCAAATATAAAACATTTTTGCTGAATTTAAATGCTTTAAAGATCACAAAAAAAGCCAACTTGTAGTATTTTTTACTCTCAATCCAATTCAGTAGCTTTGAGGCCATCTGCTAGAAGTGTTACTTTAGCAAATATACATGCTTAAAAATTGCAGTCTTTCTTGGAAAAAAGACCAACAATTTTGAATATTAATGCTTTTACTATAGTATATACTGTATACTACTGCTCAAAAGTTTAGGGTAAGGAAGATGTTTTAAAGGAGTCATATGACGTTGCTAAAAAGAACATTATTTTGTGTATTTGGTGTAATGCAATGTGTTTATGCGGTTTAAGGTTTAAAAAACACATTATTTTCCACATACTGTACATTGTTGTTTCTCCTCTATGCCCCGCCTTTCTGAAACGTGTCGATTTTTACAAAGCTCATCGGTCTGAAAAGCGAGGTGGGCTCTGATTGGCCAGCTATCCAGTGCATTGTGATTGGCCGAATACCTCAAGCGTGTGATGGAAATATTACGTCCGTTACCATACTGTGATGCCCTGTCCGGCCGGAGCGACAAGACAAAAACATTAAATCCCATTATAAACAAGGCATTTGTTTCATCCAGTGGGGACATAATTACTGGTTATAATGACTTATACTGTCTTTTTACACGTTACGTTGCATAGCATCGTAAACATAAAACCGTGTCTGCATTTGTGATCGGAGAAACGACAAACAACAAGCGCTATTCTACACTGCTCAAAACTCGCGTTTGAATCGTTAGTGGCAAATTCTTTAAATATGAAAACTTACTTACAGGCTGTGAGTCAGAAGCGCCAGACTGTCCTTGCAAAGTTGGAACTGCCCCACTTTATAGAAACAGACACCGGCATTGTAGGCTACTCTCCCAGGTAAGTAGCCTACTCTCCTAACAGTCCTCGTCCATCCTCCATAAAATGTGCTGCACACATCTGAATATTTGGGTTGAACTCTTCTGGAACAGTGTTGTAAATACAACTTAACCACTGATTTCTAGTCATGTCCTCTTTTGGAAGACCAAACAAAGTAGTTTCGCTTTCACAAC